TTTTATTTTTGAAGTAAAAATATGTGTCAGGATTCTAAATATATTGTAAAATCTCGCCAAATCCACCCTCCACAATTTCCATATCCTTTCAAATCAGCCTCAAATCCCATATTATATAGGATTTCCCAGAATTAAATATTATTCGAATACAGCACACGGGGAGTTGCACCAAACTTCACAACTGGTTAAGGTTATTAAGAGAAACTGATGAAGGATTGATGGTCGGGTTGGTGTGCGTACGTGTGTATGTGTGGGATTGATAATTATATACACATTAAACTCTGTCTCTGCAGAAACTTTTGTTGGATCAGTTAAAAATTGAAAAGAATCATCAAAGATTTCTTGATAAAAGTTTGATCCATATCACACTATCTTTGCTACCACTCCTCCCCTCATGCCATATTTAATCTTTTATAAATATTTATCCGTTGACCGTAAAAACGATTTTCAAAGCAAAATAACTTCTGTATAATATATGAACTCACATTTTATTATCTGAAAACAATATACGATCCCATTAATAGAGTTCGGTTGCGGTCCTTTTCGGTTGGGTTCTAGAGCTACTTCTGGACCGTGTTTATCGCCTTTAGACTTGTTTAAGTAAAACTATTAGATTGATTAATTTGGTCTTATTTTTTGTTTTTTCAAATTTTTTGGTTTGGAGACTTTCATATTTAGTTCAAGATACGCTCTTTAAAATCTGTATATGTTTTTGATATTATAATAAAATTGCTATTTTTTTTCTGTAAGAAAGAAAATGCAAAACTCTAATCGTATTTCCATATCAATTAAAGATGAATAGGTCCAAGATATTGCATGTTGTTGGAAATTTTGAATAGAAATTTCATTGTACCACATTGATTACCATCAAAAGGTTATCTCACTTTATAAGGTTTTGTTCCTTATAGAAAATGGTTGGAGTGATGGATGGAGAATAAAATTGGGCTCAACCTTAGGATTAGGCTTTAGGATGTACTAATTAATTGATAATTAATATATAATTAATTATCAAAAGATGGGCCTTGGGAGATGTCTCCCAACAGACATATGACATTCTCATACATGTTGCGAACATGCATAAACCTATTATATATACATCCATTTGCATGACATTTAAAACACAGAAAAACAAAATTCTTCTTCTACAATCCCAAACATTCTTACTGAGAGAACCACAAAAAAATTTGCCAGAAGTCAAGTTTTTCGGTGCTGGAATTATTACTTAGATCGTTGAATCCTGGTGAAGCAGACGTCAATAGAACTACAAGCACTGAGTAGGGAAGAAATTTCTATTTCAAGGACATTGCGGTACGCAAGCCTCAATCTTCAATTTGTCCGTTTAATATTACTTCATTTGGTTCATACTCTGTTAATTTATTTATTCGTATTTATTATTTATTAGCATAAATAAATTTATCATTAATTGTTAATATTTATCCAACACATTTATATGGATCGAAAACTACTCATATATAGGCCATTGTAACAACTTGTTTTATTGGTGGATTATGCAGGGGTTGTGCATTTATATATAATTCTTTGATTTGCTGGTGACCCCATCCTTAAATTAAGCTGCATGATTGAGTAGTTAAAGAATACCTTGCAGATACCTAGATCTCTTATGTATGCTAGCAATAATTTAATTTGTAGCCAAATGGTGAACTAATTGATTTATAAAATACCCCATGAATCAATGTTTAAGCCTGGGTGGGAGATTCTCTTGTATCTTTTTATGCAATACAAAAGTGCAAGAGGGTCTAAAGGATTTGTGTAACTAGGGTTAATTATGAATTTATAGGGCAAAAATGGAATATTGGAATATGGGGATCTTAGAGTATGCATTTTTGCTCATCATTTTTAAGTAGTGGTAATACTCATCATCTGGCTTAATTATTAGTGAGTTTAAATTTTGAGATTTGTGTTTGTCCACTATATAAATCTTGAAATTTAAATTCATTCAACGATGATAAATAAAGTAGTGAGCATCACCATTGACTTATTATTATTTAATGAGTTTAAATTTTGAGATTTGTGTTTATCCACTATTCAAATCTTAAAATTTAAACTCATTTAACGATGATAAATAAGGTAATGAGTATCACCATCACTTAAAAGTGGTGAGAAAAATATTCACGACCTTGGAAGCTACAAAGAGAGCTCCTGAGTCCTGACCCACGTGGAATGCTAGAGAATTCAACACTTGGCCTCTCACTTCTTTTTAGATCTGCAAGTCTTGTAAGAAATTCTATTAAGGTCCTACTCATGACTTGGAAATGAAGTACAATATTAATGCAATTGTCCTCATTGTCTCCTCCTCAATCACAAAACCAACATACCCAGTGCTCTTATGATCTATCTTGGATATCATTTCTGATTTGTTTTCATTTAATAATACATCATTGTGATTCCCTAATCTTCAATACTTAAATTCTAATAATGCACTCTACCATATAATCATTGTTTGGTGTGCTTTGATTGTGTTTATATTTAGAGGGGATTTCTCATTTTTAATTAGGATTAAACATGTCCAAGTTAGAAACAATCAATCTATATATGTTCAAAACATGCAACAAATATTCTCCATATCAACGAAAAGTTATTGGGTGATAATCGAATACATTTATGAAAAAAGTATAGTACTATACTACTATATACATGTTTGCAGTTAGCTAGTTACTTAAGCCTAGCATTAAGCTTTCCTACTGAAAACTCGAATATAAACCCGGTCCAACCTATTTAATCTTTCATGATTTGATTTTAAATGTGTTCAAGCTAAAACAAATCAACTTATTCTCAAAAGATGTAGTAGTATTCTCTCGTATCGCAAAAATTATTCTGTGATATTGAAATTACAAGAAGTTCTAGTACTATATATACTCACCTATACATGCCCACATTCACAATTAATTGGCTAACTAGCCTAGCAACAAATATTGAAGCTCAAACTCGAGTCTAAACCCGATTCAACCCAATGATAAACAAGGATGCTTGCACTATAGACAAGCCTAAACCCCACAATATTGTTTCCTTATATATCTTTTCTTTCCACGTGTTGGAAACATTTTTTAATTGGCATATGACATTGGGCATATATCTTGTCTATAAAGTTTTTTGTTTAACAAATTCAGAACTATACTAGTGATGATGTCATCTTCATGTTTATAAAATAAAATATGTAAATCACCCATGCTCACATGTTTATTTATTCGCTATACTCTGGTGTTGATGAATCCATTGAATTTGCTTTTTTAACTCAACGATGCCTACTTGTTTTCTAAAGTTCACAACTTTATGTTTTGCTTGCATGCATGCATGTGGTCATATTGACATTTTATGCACGTTATACTCGTTGGCAGTATCCCCGGCCCACCATTAGAGATATGCTAGTCGGGAGTCTTGATCTAGTTGTTTGTCATAGTGACTTTGTTTTCTATCTTTTGATTTTCTGAAAGTTGAAAAGGTTTAGCATGATTCGGTTTCTTATTTTTATTAAAGTTAGATTTGAATTTAGAATTTTCTCTAACATAATGCAGACTGAATGCCACACAATGACAAATATGTTAGAATTGACAATTTATTAGCATATACCCTTAACTTACAAACAAAAAAGAGGTAAATAATTCTTCATTTGTAATGGATTAGACATGAATGAAACATAACCTTTCTAATCCAATCATTTTGAGAGGGATTTAAATAGATAAATTTCCTCAATGAGTTATTCACTTCCTACCTTCAAATTGGACATGATTTCTTCATATTTTTTTTTCTTCAACATACCTTTAATACAATGAATTATTCATTCCAATCACATACACCAAGGGAAATCATTTTTTCATATGCTAGAAATTTTACTCTTATCTTGTTGTCATAGATAATGCTATTTTAGTGTCCAACAAATTTCTCTCTTAGGATAGGATTAAAAAAAAAATGGACCAACTACCCAGCATGCATGTCTCAAGTTTTCTTTACCCAATTAGCCTTCGGCCTTATTGAGCCCATCCCATTAATGTTTGAGTGATTCTTTGTATATCAAGGTTTTTTTTTTAAAACACCCATCAATTTTATTTAAAAGAAAAAAGATTTTTATATTCATATATAAGTTTTTTTTTTTTTTAATGAAGCCCATATATAAAACTACCACAAAGGACTTGGTGATTTCTTAAGAAAAAAATATATATTTTTTTTAACATCCATAGAGTTTTGAAACAAACAACGTGGTAATCAAACGACTGATAAACTTCACGATTATTGAATTTCACTTTACCGTACTTATCTAAATTTTACTTTGTTGTGCGTCTCTGAAACTGTACTCAAATAACAGAATGGAAGAGCATAGTGATAACTATGATAATCATGAAAACGAAAAAAGCAAGTTTTTTGCAACTTTTTATCCAATTCTTAAGTACATATTCTTTGCAATGGTGTTAGATTTGGAAACACCATATTTTACAAGAAACTTGTTGGATTAATACACAGATCCAGATGGTAAATCCATAGATTTTTTTTCGAAATTTGATTTTGAGTATCCTATCATTTCCAAATTTTTGTGATGGATCCTAGATTACATGGATTGAAGCTCTAGTTGTTTTTAATGATATTGTAGTTCTTGGTACTCTGGTTGTTACTAATATAGCATCCGGTTATAGTGCAAATTTTGCTTCATGAAATAAAATTAAAAAAAAATAAAAAAATAAAAAACCATGCAATCACATGTAGAATAAAAAATTATTCTATCGGTGAAAATTTTCAAATTGAACAGAAAGCCTTCAAAAATAATACAAGGAAATCAGTGTCCAAAGAAAATAAAAAAATGAGCAGCCGGAAAAAAAAATGCTTAAAAGGTAAAAGAAGAATATTTTTGAAAGTTTAGTGAATTATTTTCAGTTCAAAGAAAATGTGTGAAAGTAAATTGAATATTCAAAAAACCTGAAGTGTCCAGACGAATCTTGAGTGTAGTGTACATAGAGCCACTCTTATTGAGTTCGGTTCCGGTTTAACTGGCCCAACAGAGCAGATTGAAACCGGGCCGGCCAGAGCTTTGCCTCATCTTTGAGCAATGCAGACAGACACACTGCCACCACAGAAAGGATAAGGATTTAAAGCGCCCACCTTTCAGGATGCTCATTCACCTGCAGCATAGATAAGCTTCAGACTTGACAGCTTCAGTTTGCTAAATTTTTTCTCAAAGGTACAAAATTTAGCTGCATTGACTAATTGGGTTGTTGAACTTCTCCTCCTTTCTGTGTTTCGATGAGTTTGCAGTAATGGGTTGTTGATTATTTTTATGATTTTTTGGGTTTTGCTTTAGGATATTGTAATTTCTCTGTTTTTTCGTCAGTCTTTTGCTGGTTTTGTTCTGTTTGTAAATACTGGTTTTTTTTAATGTTTGCTTAGTGTTCTTATTTTACTTCAATGTGTCATTGAAATGGAAGAGAAAGTTTGGTTCTTGTTTTTCAGTGAAAGTGTACAGTTGTTATGAATGGACTCTGCACACAGGATTGGGGTTGATTGTTTGTGTCTGTTCAGTGTTTCGGTTTGATATGCTTATAAATTAAGTTCGAAATTGGAATGTTGATTTTGTTGAATAATTGAATTTTTGGGGTGTTGGTGTCAACTTCATTGGTAAGTAATGGGAATTTGGGTGGTGATATCTATGTTTTGTTTTCGTTGCTCGACCAAAAGTAATTAGGTAATCGACATTCGATAATTTTGATGGAAGTTATCAAGTTTTTATCTATTAGCACTTGTAATGTGCTTTTGATGGAACCACGGGAGGATGTATTCTCATGGCTTGGGGTGTTAGCAATTGTATATGTACTCTCGGTGGAACCATGAGAGGATGTATTATCGTGTTAGCTGTATATCGCACTTTGGATGAATCTTTTCGTTTTGTTCATCATTTTGATATTCTGTGCAGGTGAGCAACGAATGGAAGTCTTATGTTAGCAGCAGACTCAACTTCTATTTTTCAAGTCAATATGACGCCTGTAATTCCGTATTCTATAAGCAATGTCTCGCATATTCCTGGAAGTGCCTTTACTGCAAGAAAGAACAATTGTTTAACAAAATTCAGTTTTTCAAGGAATTCTGCAAACCATGCTCTATCCCCACGGACTTTTCTTTTACCTTTTTCGACCTCTATCAAATCATTTGCATTGTACCACAGCAGATGCCCCGTACATCATAGATTTAGAATCCATGTATCTGCCACAGGAACCGATGTAGCGGTTGAGGAAGCAGACTCACCAGTTGTAGATGCAGCTTCTAGTGAAGCCAAATCCTCTGATGATAGTCCTGGCCCATCTCAAGATTCTCAACCAAAGCGTTCAAAACCTGTTAGGAAAAGTGAGATGCCACCTGTGAAGAATGAGGAGCTGGTTGTTGGTGCAACTTTTACGGGGAAAGTAAGATCAATCCAGCCATTCGGTGCTTTTATTGACTTTGGAGCTTTCACAGATGGCCTCGTACATGTTTCACAATTGAGTGATACTTACGTTAAGGATGTTGGAAGCGTTGTTTCTGTTGGGCAAGAGGTGAAGGTGACATTAGTTGAAGCCAATCCAGAGACTGGGCGGATCTCTCTCACTATGCGTGAACGTGACAATGGCAGTAAGCCGCAGCAAAGGAAAGATGCTTCTGCTGGTAGTGATAGGGGTGGACCTGGTAGAAGGAGTGGCCCAAAGAAAGGCGAAAGGAAAAATGAGGTGAGGAAAACTACAAAGTTTGAAAAGGGGCAGGACCTAGTGGGCTTAGTAAAGAATTTCGCCAGGGCTGGTGCTTTTATATCTCTTCCTGAGGGAGAGGAAGGATTCCTGCCTACATCGGAGGAACCTGATGATGGATTTGCAAACGTCATGGGGGAGACCTCCTTGCAGCTTGGCCAAGAAATAAATGTCCGTGTCCTGCGTACTACAAGAGGACAAGTAACCTTGACAATGAAGAAAGAAGAAGATATTCTAAGTCGGACTCGCAGGTCAGTCAAGGAGTAATCCACACTGCAACAAACCCATTCCTTCTGGCTTTTCGCCAAAACAAGGATATTGCTTCATTTTTGGACGAAAGAGAGAAAATAGAAAAGCAGCTAAAGCCATTGCAAGCAGTGAGTCCAGTATTCCTGAAGTGTTGGACGAACAAACAACCAGTGGCGAGGGAACTCTTGGTGTCCCTTCAGCGGTGGATGAAACAGTTGAAAATGGTGCTCCTTCAGAGGACCAGGAAAGCCCAGTTTCTAGTACAATTGAAACTCTAGAAACTGCAGAACAACCCATTGAAAGAGAAGAGGTGAGTTCTGATATCTTGGCTCCTGAAGGGAGTACATTTACCATGGATGGAGTGGAAAACGCAAGTGCTGGTTCGTCTAGTGAAATAGCTAATTACACGTCGACTTCAGAAGTTTCAACAGGTGAAGAGGTTATAGAGCCTCAAGCGGATGATACCATAGAAAAAGGTGAACTGCAACCACCTACTTCAGAGAGAGAAATTCCTTCTGCTGCACTAACTGAAGAACCAAAAGGTTCATAACTAGGTTTTTTTTCCTTTCAAGTGTAGTATTTACATTTCATTCAGTTGAATTCAAAATTTTGCTCTAAGTCTGAGATGGTAAAGACAAACATAAGATGCCTATAATGTGCAAAATAATATGCTATTTTGGGATAAAATATGCTGAAACTTTGCATCGTTTAACAGTTAACGTTAAAACACTTATGCTATAGAGACATCAGACATGTTCTCTTTTTTAAAACAAAATTAAAATGTAAAATCACAGATGGAACATAAAGTGATAGAACTTCTGATCCATCTGGAGAATTAGCTGATGATGACGTCCTTGTGACAGAAAGTGAGGCCACCAAAGTTGTAGAAGACCTAGCTGACAACATTACGGAGGAAGCTCAGATTCAAACATCTGCTGCTGAGAGTGAATTGCCTTCTATCTCACAAGTGGAAGATGACAAAGTGGAAAGTGCCCCCAAGAAGAATGGCAGTGTTTCTGATTCAAATGGACAATCTGACAATCCATCCCCAAAGAAAAGAGAAATTAAAGGTTATTTTGCCTGATCATCTTGTTCATTTTAATGCAATTCATAAATCTCTACATTAAACCAGGTAAACAAACAAATACTAATGACCTGAAAACTGATGGGATATGGTTCGTGGAATATCTGTACATGGTGACCCGAATACCTGTTGCTTTTAAGTTGGAAATTAAACCATTGAAAACTATGAGGATCTGAACTAAATTCTAAGAAGAATGTGCGTATGATAGGGGAAATGAATGAATGGTTGTATTGATTTGCTGGGTTGAATTTATCTGCCTACCACACACACACACACACACACACACACACAAAACACTTGGGAAGTTTCATGCTACAAACAATTGTTGCAATGTGAAATTGCTGCTCCCTAAATATTTAGTGATCTTAAAAGGATTACACAGATTTTACTGTGCAACACCATGTTCCATCTGATGCTGAATAATGTTGCTAGTGGGCGAGTGAAGATGAATAAAATCCTCTTAAATATGTTGAAGGATTCTGTTAAGTGATTGATTGTCCGGTTCACATTGCAATAGCAGTCTTCTATTACGAGATATATCTACCTCTAACTGTTTGTTTTTACATGTGGATTACAGCAATTATATCACCAGCCCTTGTAAAGCAGCTGCGTGAAGAAACAGGAGCTGGAATGATGGATTGCAAAAATGCTTTGTCAGAGACAGACGGGGACATTGTTAAAGCTACGGAGTTCCTTAGAAAGAAAGGTTTAGGTAGTGCAGAAAAGAAAGCCAGCAGAGCCACTGCTGAAGGAAGAATAGGTTCATACATTCATGATAGCAGGATAGGTATCTTGCTAGAGGTAAACTGTGAGACAGATTTTGTTTCTCGGGGTGACATTTTCAAGGAGCTGGTTGATGATTTAGCCATGCAAGTGGCTGCATGCCCTCAAGTACAGTACCTTGCTACAGAAGATGTTCCTGAAGAGCTTGTGAACAAGGAAAGAGCAATTGAGATGCAGAAAGAAGATCTTTTGTCAAAGCCGGAGCAGATTAGGTCAAAGATTGTTGACGGGAGGATAAGGAAGAGGCTTGAGGAGCTGGCATTGCTTGAGCAGCCTTTCATTAAGAATGATAAGGTGGTGGTGAAGGACTTGGTCAAGCAAACCATTTCAACTATTGGAGAAAACATAAAAGTGAAGAGGTTTGTGCGCTACAATCTTGGAGAGGGCTTGGAGAAGAAGAGTCAGGATTTTGCTGCTGAGGTGGCTGCCCAAACTGCAGCAAAACCAGTGCCCGCGGAAGTAAAAGAGCAGCCTCCTGCAGTGGAAGTCAAGGAAACTGTTGAGAAGTAAGCAACCGCCCTTCACAGATCATGTCTTGCTTTTATATAGATTCTCTAATACTGGGTCATTAATATAATAGATTGGATTTTTATTATGTTTCTGTAATAAAAACAAGAGTTCCAACACTCAGTTTCTGTGATAACATATGTGCTTGTTGATGCCAATATGGATGTATATTTTGTGTATGTCGCTGACGTAGATTCAACACCATATTGCAGGGCACCAACTGTAGCCGTCTCTGCCGCTCTGGTTAAACAACTACGTGATGAAACTGGAGCAGGGATGATGGACTGCAAGAAGGCTCTCTCCGAAACTGGAGGGGACCTTGAGAAGGCACAAGAGTACCTGCGGAAGAAGGGTCTTTCTTCTGCTGAAAAGAAATCCAGCAGGCTTGCTGCTGAAGGCAGGATTGGGTCCTACATTCATGATGCCCGCATTGGAGTCCTGATTGAAGTAAACTGCGAGACTGACTTTGTTGGTAGAAGTGAAAATTTCAAGGGGTTGGTTGATGATCTGGCAATGCAAGTCGTGGCCTGCCCGCAGGTGCAATATGTATCAATCGAAGACATTCCAGAGAGCATTGTAAACAAGGAAAAAGAGCTTGAGAGGCAGAGGGAGGACCTTCTGTCCAAACCCGAGAACATTAGGGAGAGAATAGTGGAGGGGAGGATCTCAAAGAGGCTTGGGGAGCTGGCTCTTTTAGAGCAACCTTTCATTAAAGATGATAGTCTTTTGGTGAAAGACCTAGTGAAGCAGACTGTTGCTGCTCTCGGTGAGAACATAAAAGTTCGCAGGTTTGTTCGGTTCACTCTTGGGGAGTCACTTGAGACAGTTGAAGATGCAGGAGCTGAAGCATGAATAAAAGATAAAACTCGGAGTTTGCATGGAGCCGAAGAAAGGATAGAAAGGTCACGAAACTAATTTTACATGCAAGTTACATGATTCTTTTTTGTTCTGGTTTTAGTTTTACTATCTGCAGCTTAGGCTGATCAATCTGTTATTTGGTTGGACAAGAGGTGTACTTTTTTGTCATCTACATTGCAGAGAGAAGATGGAAATACAATTCTGTTGAGGCATTTTTGAAAAAATGCATGGAGCAACATGGAAGATTAAAATCCAATAAAATTTGAAGAAAACAAATCGAATTCCTAAATCAACTTTTACATGTGTATTTGTTAGCCTGCTATACACCCTAAATGATCTTTGGCCAGAAAAAAATACAACCACATGTGCTAGTTGCTCTTGGGAACGAATCGCCACGAGTCCACGGCAATCTCTACCTCCCTTTTCTTGTGAAATTTGTACAGCTGTGGTACATCGTACCGAAGCTGACGAACAAAGACGATGATAAAATAGCTTTAATATCATGTCAACAACAAAAGCATGCTCACTCATCTCATAAAACAGAACAGCGCAGTGTCCTTAACCACCGCGAAAATTTGAAATAAGCTTATTTTGACCCACCTCACATAAAACTTCAGCACTGCTAGCATTGAAGTTCTGCAGAGCTCCCCTTTTCACATGCTGCAATTGACCAAAAGGGAAGTGATCACATCATGTGGGCACAGTAAAAAACCATCTAAACCAATGGTGAGGACCCGTGTTGAGGGGGTAATAGTCAGAAAGCAAGTTAAAATTACTTGTTAACGCGCAAGGCGTGTGGCTTACATCCCTTGTGGAGGTTTTGTGCAAGGAATAAACTGCTTGAGTAGCAATCTGACAAACGAAACAACATGGGGAAACATTTAGAGCAAACAAGATAGAAGATATTCCACTTAACCCGACCACCGCATTAGATGGCACAAGAAAATCAGAGATCAGCCGCTGCACTTACCTTCAAAGCCACTGAGAGGAAATCCATGTCAGCACCCTTCTTCCGAGTTCCAAATGGGGGATTCATTACAACAGTATCAACAAGGTCGGCTATATTAAGGATCAAGATCATTAGATGTCGAAACAACTCATAACAGATTAAACATAGACTACCAACTGTATCAAACAGAAAATAACCAACAAATATGTGTGTTTACGTATAAATTGTTTCTGCTAACAAATACACGCGTATAATGTAAAAACTTAGAACACTAGGGTTTTCAGCTTTAGTTGCACACCCATATAATGATGGGTCGCAGTCTATTTATACAATACTTTCAGATTACAAGTAGGGTTTTGAAAACCCTATTTACATGGAGAACTTTGAATTCAAAAATACAAAATCACAACAGCTTATCTTTGAAGTATTCAAAACTGAAATCTGACCTAGCAATCTTATCCTATGAAGAGTTTGTTGCGGAGCTTAGTTTGGGATAAGATTGACTTGGTCTAACATCCCCCCGCAAGCTGACAGGTCGAGCAACGACGGGAAGCTTGGAAACTAACAAGTTGAAGCGTGAAGAGGAGAGACCCTTTGTGAACAAATCGGCAATCTGGTCTTGGGAACAAATAAAATGAACCAAAAGCTGTCCACGCACCACCTTTTCTCGTACATAATGGTAGTCCACTTCCAAGTGTTTCGTCCGTGCATGGAAAACAGGATTGGAAGCCAAAGCAATGGAGGAAACATTATCACACCATATCTGCGGCCGTGGCAGATAGAGATGGAGATCTCGAAACAAACTTCCTAACCATGACAACTCAGCTGCAGTATAGGCAAGCTGCCTATACTCAGCTTCTGTGCTAGATCGTGAGACAGTCTTCTGTTTCTTCGAACTCCAGGAAATCAAATTCGTGCCCAAATAGATACAGAAGCCACCAGTTGAATGGCGTGTGTCCTGATTTCCTGCATAATCAGCATCAGAAAAAGCATTCAACTGAACATCACCAGGTTTGTAGACAAGACCGTGATCATGTGTGGCCTTTAAATACCTCAAAATCCTCTTAATCGCCATCCAATGTGTAGTCCGAGGCATATGCATAAACTGGCAAACCTGGTTCACAACATAAGACAGATCGGGTCTAGTGATCGTCAAGTATTGTAACGCTCCAACAACCGTTCGATATTCTTCTGGATGAGAATAAGGTTCACCATCATACTGGCTGAGCTTTTGTCCCGCAGGTACAGGAGTGGATACTGGTTTTACAGCAGTAAACTTGGTGCGCTCCAGCAGATCCAACGCATACTTGGACTGTGTAAGATGCATATTCTCCCCAGAATAAGTAACCTCGACACCCAAAAAATAACTTAAAGGACCTAAGTCCTTCATAGAAAACAAAGTGCCGAGCTTCTCTATCAACCATTGCATTTGTTTATCATTATTGCCTGTAAGAAGAATGTCATCCACATAGATAAGTAAGATCAAGTAAACCCCTCGTTGATTAAACACGAACAAGGAATAATCACATAATGATTCTTCAAACCCAAGTTGAAGCAGATAATTCGAGAATCTTCGAAACCAGGCTCTGGGAGCCTGTTTTAATCCATACAAACTTCTCTGCAACTTACACACATAATTAGGATACTGTTGATCAAGAAAACCAAGCGACTGTTTCATGTACACATCCTCATCCAAATAGCCATGCAAGAACGCATTCTATACATCCAACTGTCGCACCGTCCACTTCTTCGACATGGCAAGACTCAAAACAAGTCGAATGGTGCTGTGTTTCACGACTGGACTAAATGTTTCATTATAATCCACTCCGGATTGCTGATGGTAACCGTTAGCCACAAGTCGAGCCTTGTGACGTTCAAGAGAACCATCTGCACGTCGCTTGATTTTAAACACCCATTTGTTTGGCAGCAGGTTCATTCCAGGACAATAAGGAATAAGCGTCCACGTTCCACACCTTTGCAAAGCACTGAACTCTTGTGCCATTGCTGCCCTCCATTGTGGATATTTAATAGCCTGACTAAAACAAGACGGCTCAACAAACGTGGAGTCAGTGATTGCATGCAAAGCGTATTTTGGATTTGGCTTTTGAATCCTAGATTTTGACCGTGTTGTTATTGAGTGGGGAAGATGAGTCTCTCGAATGGAAGATGACGTGGTAGAGAAAATTGATGAAGGAGAAGGATTCTGAGTACTTTGTACGGATGGAATGTGAACCAAGTCTTGCTCATGGGTGGGACCTAATGTGGAACTAGGTTGAGGTGTCCTGGTAGGGATAGGTGCATTAGGATTAAGGTCCAAATCTGAAACAGTTTGTTGCGGAGCAAAAGGTGGCGTGATATGCGGCTGGTCACTAGACACTAAGTTTGACTCAGGCTGGTGGTTGAGGCTAGGGTGAGATTCGACAAGATTGGGTGAAGATATGGAAGGTACCAAAGTAGGTGATGGTGTTGTGGTTAAAATCAAGTTAGGGTTGAAAGGTGTACCTGTGATAGTGACGTCTTCCTTGGGAGATGCAAGTTCCTTGAAAGGAAAGGAATCCTCATCAAATAAAACATGGCGAGACACGTAAATGCGTCTCGTGGATAAGTCCAAGCACTTGTAGCCTTCATGATTCAGTGAGTATCTTAAGAAAACACATGGTTTGGATTTTGGTTGAAGTTTATGCCGTGTATAAGGAGTCAACAATGGAAAACATTTTGAACCAAACACTTTAAATGCCTCATATTTTGGATTCTTTTGAAACAATGTTTCATAGGGAGACACGTTAGATAAAACCTTTGTTGGAAGCCTGTTGATAATATAAACAGCTGTGGAACATGCATCAAACCAAAATGTTTGAGGCATATGAGCATGAGAAAGCATTGTAACACTTGTTTCAACTATATGACAATGCTTTCGTTCGGCAAGTCCATTTTGTTCAGGATGTTTTGGACACGAAAAACGTTGGAAAACCCCATGTGTAGCAAGAAATTTTTTGAAAGCATGACTCATGTATTCACCACCTTCGTCACATTGAAGGGCTTTAATAGACTTATTAAACATTTTTTCAACATGTGTTTTAAATGTCACAAAAATTTCAAACACTTCAGATTTATTTTTCATTGGAAAGATCCACGAATAGTGTGAGTAGTCATCTACAAACAACAAGTAATAACGAAAACCTTCTTTAGAAATAATAGGGGAACTCCACACATCAGAATGCAACAGTTCTAAAGGACAAGAAGACACGGACACAGACTTGCTAAATGGAAGTTTAGTGCTTTTGCCTAATGGACAAGAGTCACAAAACGTTACAGTACTTGTACCAGATGATGGTACTTGGTTATTTGCAATAAAAAATTTAATAATTGACGAAGCAGGGTGACCAAGACGTAAATGCCATTTCTGAGGCGAGACTCTAACACCGACACACACTGAAATAGGATAGCTGGACAATCCACCGCCACTAGGAAATGGATACAATCCATTCTCACATCTCCCGCGGAAAAGCGTCTTCCGTGTTTTGAGGTCCTTAACAAGGAAGAAATAAGGAAATATTAGTATGTAGCAATGGTTATCTAGGGTGAATTTGTGTGCTGAAATGATATTAGTGGATGCGGATGGACAATGTAAAATGTCATGGAGGTTAAATGAGCAAGACTTAGTTGAAATTTGATTCGAACCAGAATGTGCAATGGAAAGTTGAGAACCATTACCTACTCCACCAATGTTTTCATTACCAGTGTATTCTTTTGGATTTGCAATATTCTGAAGGTCTGGGGTGACATGAGCATTGGCACCCGTGTCAAGAAGCCAATTTCCATTAGTAGGCATCACTTGAGAAGATGCCATGGCAGCAAGACGATTGGTGGGAATGCGTCCTTCATACGCTGTATTCATCCGCTGGTAACAGTCCAGAGCCGGATGGCCAGGTTTGCCACAAATTTGGCATTTGATGCGTTCACCAGAAAGGTTGCACCGGTCACCATTACTTGCAGACGCACCACCACGTTGATAGTTGTTGTTGCGAGGAAGACCACCTCGTTGATTGCCATTGTTGAAGGCACCACCACGATTGAACGGAGAGCCTCCACGTCCAATGCCATGAGAGCGACCACCACGGCCTCGTGACGCTACAAAAACATTGATCGGAGCAGTTTCAGTCGGCACAGCTTGCTCCGTCATGCGTCTCTCGGTGGTTAGCAGAAGAGCTTCAAGTGTTGGATAAGTGATTGGAGTATCACGAGCTTGTGCTGCATTCACAGTCATCTCGAACGCAGGACCAAGATTATTTAAAATAATTTGAACCAGTTCATCATCACTTACTGGTTGTCCAGCCAAAGCAAGGTTGTCAGCGATCGCATTCATACGATCCAAGTAGTCAGCTACAGAGAGGTCACCCTTCTTCATCTGCAGCAGTTCTGTACGCAGAAACAATATACGATTCTGGGAAGTTGACGCATACCGTTGTTCCAATGCTTCCCAGGTTGCACGGCACGTGCGTTTGCTTGCTACTGTCGACAAAACATAAACAGTGAGAGAGCTGTTGATCCAACTGAGAATCATTTGATCATGTTGAATCCAAGTCATGTAGGCTGGGTTAACGGCAGTGGAGCCAGCCAAATTCTTAGGAGGACACACAATGGAGCCATCAACGTAACCCATCAAGTCACGGCTCTTGAGAGCAGGCAAAATCTGAGCAAGCCAAAGCGGATAATTCGAGCGGTCAAGTTTGATATTAACCACACTAGTCATAGAGGTGATGGAGGGATGACCAGCGGGTAGGGGGGAAGGATTGATGGGAGTGGTGGAGTTGGTGTTGTTGGTGTCAGCCATGGAAGCAATAGTGGGTTGAAAGAAAAAAAAAAAAAATTGGATCGTCTGTCGTTAGACTGTAGGGCTCAATACCATGTAAAAACTTAGAACACTAGGGTTTTCAGCTTTAGTTGCACACCCATATAATGATGGGTCGCAGTCTATTTATACAATACTTTCAGATTACAAGTAGGGTTTTGAAAACCCTATTTACATGGAGAACTTTGAATTCAAAAATACAAAATCACAACAGCTTATCTTTGAAGTATTCAAAACTGAAATCTGACCTAGCAATCTTATCCTATGAAGAGTTTGTTGCGGAGCTTAGTTTGGGATAAGATTGACTTGGTCTAACATATAAAGGCCGCTGCAGAGAAGGGTTCTCTTACCTCTCCATCCTAAGTTCTTAATGTTGCACTGTATAAATTCCACATCCAACTGCAGGATTACCAACAGAACAATATATTAGTCGATCAGCACCGATGCACAAAATGATTCAATACAGCAAATTGTCGGAGCTTTTTTCGTCCATGAAATGCCTATTTCTATGACAGACAAATATACAAATACTAGCCATATGAATACATCTTCGAAGCAGAGCAAACCATAAAGTGCTATAAACATCAGTACCGTAGAAATCAAGAAAGTAACAGTACCTCAAGATCCATGGCATTTTCCGCTGCTATTTCAGGTGATTGAGCATCAATGCCAATGCCAATCACCTGTCTGTTCAAAGCAAGGACACATTACACCGACAACAAAACGAAAAAAGTATTCATTCGAGATTCACAAACTTGATCCGTAATAACCTTCAATTTCGACTAACAAAGTAAAAGGGTTATCGAATTTTCAACTAATACTCAAGTTAAAACAACACTGGGAAAGACGAAACCCTCTCTGCACCCAAGAGTGCAGCTGAAACACCCAATGTACCACAGCCACAACCAAAATCAGTCACCACCTTCTCACTCACGTCTCCGAATGAATTCTCTGCCTAATCAATCGAAAATCCACGATTATTAACGCGACGAAACTGATAGACCACGTCAGTCTGTGACTCTCACTTCCGAGACTTCAGGAAGTTGTGATCAATCTAAACTCTTATTCATGAAGAGTTAGCTTAGGTTACAACTCCCACAAATGTTTGTTGGTTCTCGGATATATATCTTTTCTCCAGTTTGTTGTAATCTTTGAATTTTGAAAAGCCTTGTAAATAGGGATTGCTTTCCCTGATGTACTTTGAAATGAATATAAATACATGCAGCCTCTCATTAAAGGGGTATGCAATTATCGTAAACTCTTGAGCATTCTTAAGTTTTACATGGTATACGAGCCTTAGCAAGTCCAACGACACAGATCCAATTTTTTTTCCAATGGCTGATAGTTCCAACGGTGCTGCAACCACAAACATCTCCAATCCCAACCCAGCATTACCTGCTATGAACTCCTTCTCGTCCATGACGACAGTTGTCAATATCAAACTGGATCGAACCAACTATCCTCTATGGTTGGCTCAGATTCTCCCCATTCTCAGGAGTCGTGACTTGATGGGTTATGTGGATGGGTCCATTGCATGTCCTCCCAAACAGCTTCCTGGTGCCGCTGATATCAATCCTGCATACACAACCTGGGTTCATCATGATCAAATGATATTGAGTTGGATAAATGGCTCCCTCACGCCATCTGTGCTATCGGTTGTGGCAAGCAAGAGATGCTCTCGTGATACCTGGGAGGCTCTCGAGCAAAGTTATGCTTCCTCGTCCCAAAATCGTATATTGTTCCTTCGGAATGAACTAATGCAAACCAAAAAAGGAGATATGGCTATTGCAAACTATCTTGATCGCATGAACTCGATTTCTGACAACCTTGCCCTTGCTGGGCAACCAGTGAATGATGATGAGCTTGTCCAGATTATCCTGAACAATCTGGGTCCTGCTTATGAAATGACTGTGAGTGCTGCACAGGCACGTGACACTCCAATCACGTACCCTACACTTGAGGCTCTCTTACTGACAACGGAGAGGAGGATGGCTGAGCAAACTGCTCCTACTGTGGAGGTTGCTCCTGTGAATGCATTTGTGACTACTCGAGGTCGTGGTGGACGATTTCGAGGTAATGGACGTGGTGTGTCTCCGTCTGCCCGTGGTGGTGGTGCTGCCAACCAACGAGGTTTCTTTCCTCGCAGTAATACTCAACGGCTAAACTCGGCTTGCAATGGTGAGAAGTTCACGGCTACAGGTGAAAGACTCACTTGTCAGATATGTGGAAAACAAGGGCATCCTGCCCTGGATTGTTATCAACGGATGAATGTCGCATATGAAGGGCGCATTCCAGCTAAGAGACTTACTGCTATGGCAACATCACCCGTCACCATCAACAAGCAATCTAATGGACAGTGGTTGCTTGACACCGGTGCTAATGCACATGTCACTCCAGATCTTCTCTATCTCTCATCTTGGTTCAAATACAATTCAAACTCCGTCTTGCTCATTTGAATTACAAAATATTCTAAGATGTCCCACTGCATCCACCAATATTATTTCTGCCCATAGGTTTACCCTAGATAATAATTGTTATTTACTCATCTTTCCTAATTTTTTTCTTGTTAAGGACCTCAAGACCCAGAAGACGCTTTTCCACGGGAGATGTGAGAATGGCTTATACCCATTTTCTGGTGGCGGTGGACAGTCCAATTACCCTATTTCAGTGTGTGTCGGCATCCGAGTCTCGGCCCAAAAATGGCATTCACGCCTTGGTCACCCTTCGTCGTCTATTATTAAGTATTTAGTTTCAAATAAGCGAGTACCAATTCATGGTACTTCTGATGCAATGTTTTGTCAATCATGTCCATTAGGAAAGAGTACTAAACTCCCCTTTCGTGCTTCTGAGTCTGTTTCCCAATTTCCTTTGCAAATTTTACATTCGGATGTTTGGTGTTCTCCGGTTGTTTCCCATGAAGGTTTTAAATATTATGTTTTATTTGTGGATGACTATTCTAGATACTCTTGGATCTTTCCCATTAAACATAAATCTGAAGTGTTTGAAGTATTTGTCACCTTCAAATCTAAAGTGGAAAATATGTTCAATACGTCCATTAAAATTTTTCAGTGTGATGAAGGAGGAGAGTATAAGAGTCGTGTTTTTCAAACTTTCCTTGCACAACATGGCATTTCTCAAAGATTTTCATGCCCCAAACATCCTGAGCAAAATGGTATTGCAGAAAGAAAACATCGCCACATTGTCGAAACTGGAATTGTCATGCTTTCTCATTCTCATATTTCCAACAAATATTGGCCTGATGCTTGTTTAACAGCCACTTATTTAATCAACAGGCTGCCCACTCGGCTTTTGTCTTATCAATCCCCATATGAAAAATTATTTGGCAAACTTCCCAAATACGAGACATTTAAGGTCTTTGGTTGTAAGTGTTTTCCTTGGCTTGTGCCTTATTCCCAAAATAAACTTCAACCCAAGTCAAAACCGTGTGTGTTTCTAGGGTACTCACTGAACCATCAAGGGTACAAATGTTTGGACTTGTCCACGAGGCGAATCTATTTGTCTCGCCATGTTCTATTCGACGAGGACTCATTTCCATTTAAGGAACTCACATCTCCACTGGAAAACGTTGATCCAATAGGTATTGTTACATCTCCTGATCTTTTGTTCACTTTTCCTATTTTAATATCTTCCACCAACTCACTGACTTCATCCCATACCTTAGACAGCTTGCATTCATCTAATCCCGCTGCTACTCCTTTGACTAACCCTCCCCAAAGTCCAAACCTATCACTACCTACAAACCTGCCACCTACCTTGCCTTCACCTAACCCTATTTCCACTCCACCTAATTTAAATGAGCAAGCAGCAGTTTCTGCACCACATCTCCATCCACCCGTATCCTCTTCAGATAATGCCCATACTCAGACACGTCCTCCCTCTGAGCAAATGCGCATGACCACTCGTTCGCAGTCAGGAATACTCAAACCTAATCCCAAGTATGCATTGCATGTTTCTACTAATTTGTCTTTTGTTGAACCCACGTGCTATAGTCAAGCAGTCAAGACTAAAGCATGGCGTGATGCCATGGTCCAAGAGTTTAATGCATTGCAACGTTGTGGTACGTGGAAACTTGTTCCTTATCATCCTAATATGAATCTGTTGCCAAATAAATGGGTGTTCAAGATCAAAAAAAAGGCAGATGGCTCGGTGGAGAGGCACAAGGCCAGGTTAGTTGCCAATGGATTTCATCAACAGTCTGGTGTTGATTACACAGAGACCTTTAGTCCTGTGGTCAAGCACAGCACTATTCGACTTATTCTCAGTTTAGCAGTTTCCAAAAGGTGGCCCATACGACAACTGGATGTCCAAAATGCATTTTTGCATGGTTTTTTACAGGAAGATGTATATATGCGCCAACCTACTGGCTTTGTTGATCAGCAGTATCCTAATCATGTGTGTAAATTACAAAGAAGCATCTATGGCTTGAAACAAGCTCCTCGAGCGTGGTTCACTCGGTTTTCAGAGTTTCTTCTTCAATTAGGGTTTCACGGGTCAACCTGTGATTACAGTTTATTTGTTTTCAATCACCGTGGGGTATATTTGATTTTGTTGATTTATGTCGATGACATTCTGTTGACAGGAAATAGCCCTTGCCATATGTCGAGGTTGATCAAGAAATTGGGTACTTTATTCTCAATGAAGGACTTAGGTCCTCTACATTATTTTTTGGGGGTCGAAGTTCATTATTGTGGTCAACAAATGCATCTCAATCAAGCCAAGTATGCCTTGGATCTGCTAACACGAACAAATTTTTTGGATGTAAAACCAGTTTCTACTCCAGTTCCTAGTGGTCACAAACTTAGTGCCTATGATGGTGAGCCACACAACAATCCAGAGATGTACAGGAGTGTTGTGGGTGCCCTACAATACTTGACTATCACGAGACCAGACCTTTCCTATGCTGTAAACCAGGTATGTCAGTTCATGCAGTCTCCCAAAACTTCACATTGGCAGGCAGTAAAGCGGATTCTCCGGTATGTAAAGGCCACATACAATCATGGCCTTGTCTACAAACCTGGTTCTACTAATCTCACGGCTTATTCTGATGCTGATTATGCTGGAAATCCAGATACTCGACATTCAACGGGTGGTTTCTGTATTTATTTTGGGTCCAATCTCGTGTCCTGGAGTTCGAAGAAACAAAAGACTGTTAGTCGGTCCAGTTCTGAAGCTGAATATAGGCAGCTTGCTTACACTGCTGCAGAAATTTCTTGGCTCAGGGCTTTATTTCGAGACTTGTACTTGCATCTTGACATACCCACAATTTGGTGTGATAATATTTCCTCAATTGCTCTTGCATCTAATCCAGTTTTTCACTCCCGGACAAAGCACTTGGAGGTTGATTATCATTATGTTCGAGAGAAGGTGGTACGTCGTCAGTTACTTGTTAATTATATTTGTTCTCAAGATCAGGTTGCTGATCTGTTCACAAAAGGATTGTCCTCAACAAGATTCAAGCTTCTTGTTTCCAAGCTTTCCGTTGTTCCTCTACCTGTTAGCTTGCGGGGGGATGATAGACCACGTCAGTCTGTGACTCTCACTTCCGAGACTTCAGGAAGTTGTGATCAATCTAAACTCTTATTCATGAAGAGTTAGCTTAGGTTACAACTCCCACAAATGTTTGTTGGTTCTCGGATATATATCCTTTCTCCAGTTTGTTGTAATCTTTGAATTTTGAAAAGCCTTGTAAATAGGGATTGCTTTCCCTGATGTACTTTGAAATGAATATAAATACATGCAGCCTCTCATTAAAGGGGTATGCAATTATCGTAAACTCTTGAGCATTCTTAAGTTTTACAGAAACAACCCCAAATTCAAGAATTTAGCAGAAAATCAATAGTTTTAAGCAAAAAGGCAGAAACTTTTGAGAAGAACCACTGAGCTAGTTAATTAATTTTGACTATGATGATGGAATTCACTTCTTTCATCATTTTTCATCTTTTGCTTAATTTTTTTATTTATAATGAAA